TATATTATATATTACAGGGTGTCATGATCAGACTCATAGTGATTCTCCTGTTTTTAGCCTCCCAAGAGCTGGGATTACAGGCTTGCGTCACCATTGCCATCTCAGTGTGCCCCACGGGCAGAGCTGGCTTGGCATGCTGGGGATTGAACCCTGGTCACTGTGCTCTACCTAAGCAGGCATTTTAATCCACTGAGCTATCAGGCTGGTCCCTGTTTTTGTTTTAAATATTGAGACAGAGGGCCAGCAAGATAGCTCAGGGGATTAAAGTGCCTGCTTAGGCAGAGTGTAGCGACTGTTCGATCCCTGACATGTGATGCCATCCCCACCCATGGAGGACGCTGAGATGGCAACTGAGACTGGGCATGGTGGCATGAGCCTATGATCCCAGCACTTGGGAGGCTAAACATAGGAGGATCACTACTAGTCTGATCTATGTAGTAAGGCCCTGTAGACCCCATAGACTGTCCTAATTACAGAAAATAAATAAATAAAAAATAAAATAAAACTAAAACTAAACAAAAAGGCTGGGGATGCAGCCCAGTGCAATGGTCTTGTGGTACAATCCCTAGTACCCACCCCCCAAAAAAGTCAAAAATTTTGTCCCAGAGGGCAGGCCAAATAGTTCAGTGGATTAAAGCGCTGCAAGCAGGTGAAGGGGCCAGGAGTTCAATCCCCAGTCCTGCCTTGCTGGCCCTGTCCCCAGGGTGTACTGAGATGGCACTTGAGACCAGGTGTGGTAGTGTGTGCCTGTAATCCCAGCTCTTGGGAGGCTGTAAACAGAGGGATCACTATGAGTCCAATTCAGTAGTGAGAACCTGAACACCCTGCAGAGCCTTCCCTAAAAAAAAAAAAAAAAAAAAAAAAAAAGACAGAAAGAATCTTGGCCTGAGCCATCAGAATGATTGAGTTGCCATTTGTTGACATGGGGAGTTCTTACTGCCTCCAGCTGGTAGTAAAAGCAAGGGTTTGGTTTAGAATGCATTAACTTTGAGGCCCAGTGAGACAGCTCAGTGGACTAAGCACCTGCTTAGGCAAGCGCAGGGAGCAGGGTTCCATTCCTAGCACCACATGCCATGCAGGCCCCACCCCTGGGTGCACTGAGCTGGCCACCAAAACCAGGTGTGGTGCCAAACACCTGTAATCCCAGCACTGAGGAGGCTGAAAACAGGAGAATCACTAGGAGTCCAATCTGCGTAGTGAGACCCTGTACCAAATAGATTTAAAAAAAAAAAAAAAAGTATTAACTTTAAGAGGTCTACTGGACACCTAGAGTGGGATATGAGAACTTGGAATTTAGGCACTATGGCTCTGGGTTTTTTGTTTTTTGTTTTTTCAGAACTGGGAATTGAACTCAGAACCTTGTGCTTGCCAACGAAGCACGTTTTCCACTGAACTGTGGCTCTGGATGACAGATCTTACTAAGGTGTTAGATTACTAGTGGCATCTGAAGCTCTGTCTAGAAAGCTTCTGATAGGGTATGGTCAGTACCAGGGATTGAACTCAGGACATTACACTTGCCAGGCAGGTGCTTAAGCCACTGAGCTATATCCCCAGCCCATCATCCAATATGGCTGAAGTCCTTAAAAAACAACAGCTCATCTTCCCAGAGACCACCTCCCTCCTTCTTCTCCAGCTCAGCCCAGGGTACAATTTGCTTTCACCTTTCCTGCCACCTCAGGGAAGGCCCCAAGCAGCTCCTCAGATGTATCTAAACATCCCCCTCAGCCCCCTTCCCCCCCCCAAAAAAAAAAGGCCATAAAAGCCTCAGCCTCACTTTGTTCAACTCCAGAGAATTCCTTATCTTCCCAAATTTTCTCCGTGTCCTCTAAGATAATGAAGCCCCTTTCCCTTTTCCTTCTGCCTGTTTCTCTGCTGTGACACCATCAAAACCTATCAGCTTCCACCCAGGGTCTTGACAATGTCCAGTCCCCAGACCTGTACTCATTCCATGACCTCTTAAGTTTGGGCCACTTTCAAGGTGCTGCAGTGAGCTGAGGTCGGCCATATCCAGGGCCAACTGCTCACCCCGTAAATTTGGATTCCAAAAGTCACGGTAGGTTGACAGCTGAAAATTTACTGTGTTTGCTTTTTGCCTGTGAGAATGTGGATTCATCTGCACGCGCGGAGAGGGAGCCTGGAGCTTGCACGAACAGCAGCCAGGTCTGGCAGGAGAGAGCCTTCCTGGTGATGCTGCTTCTGCCTTCCAAGGTGAAGCTGCAGGAGGCAGACCTGGACATTCACAAGAAAAGGAACTGGCTGGGCAGTGCCCATCTCTGTCTGCTTCCCACTGTCCCTGTGGGAAGACATAGGACCCTCCGAGGGGCCCCCATTCATCTGACTGGCCCAGGAATTTTCCATCCAGGTTTCTCCCTATGTGGGAAATCTCAGACTCAAGGCAGGCTACACCTTACCTCTGGGAGTCTTAAACTAAAATCCTATAGGCTTTTCCCCAAAGGTTTGTCTCCACCCCCAATTCATAATCCCAGCCCTCACGTCTGCACCTCTCAGGCAAAGCCCAGGGAAATCCGCTTGTGAATCATGGTGGACTGCTGCCCAACGGGGTCCCCAAACTGGCGTGTCCAGGGTCTATGCTGCCCTGAGCCTCGCAGTGGGGCCCTCCCTTCCACCTCTCCTTCCTTTATCTGGTCTCTATCCTATTATTGGGAGATGAGTCCTCGAACAGGTCATCCGCTGGGAATGTACTTTTACTCTAGCAGAATTCCCCTGGTCCTAACCCACCGCAATTGTCTAAAATACAAAATCAAAGACCTGGGGCTGTAGTCAGTGATACAGTGCTTGCCTAGCGTGCGCGAGGGCCTGGGTTCAACACTTGCCCATAGCTCCAGAGACCCCGGAGCTATCTGCCTTCCCCTTCATCAGCGTCCAATATGGGGCACCCTGAGGCCTAAGGGAGTCGCGCTCCTGAGGCCCCTCCCCCCCCACCTCTATAATTTTCAGGGCCAAACACGCAGGGCAGGGCTGGGGTCGTTTCTACGAACAGTCATCCATCCACCTCCTTCACATCTGACCCCCTCTATGGCTGTGGGTGAAGGTGGACAGACAGGGACCTTTTTACCTGACACACTGTGCACCTCAGATCCAGGCCACAGGCTTGCGTCTCCTGACAATGAGGCTCTAGGGGGCGCTGCGGCCCCCAGGCTCTGAGCGCCCCCTACTGGGCAATCATAGAAATGGTCCCAGTTGGAGCTCCACCCCCTATCCCAAAGCCCACGGTGAAACCGGGAAGAGGCTGTGTGGGAGTAATCGTGCCTCGCTCCCCAGATAAGGTCTTAGTTTTGTGCCCGTGGGAAGGGGAGCCTCCGCTCCAGGTAACCAAGACCTCCAAAAACAGCTAAGAAGAGTAGGGAACTGCTTATCCGCGCCAGCCAGGCTGGGCTGAAGCCAGAGCTGGGGATGCCATCAAGCCCTGACCTTCAGGAAATGACTTTCAGAGCCCAGCCCCAGGACCCCTTCACAGTGCGCTGGATTAGGGAAACTGAGTGCCTCCTTCAGCCACCCCACCCATTCTGCCTGCACCTGCGGACCTGGACAGACCAGCTGGACCAGGCAACTTGGCTACTTCCGACAGACACCCCGAAGGGACCAGGCGCAGACTCTGCTCAGAAGACTTGGCCTATGGGCCCGCGAGATAGCTCAGTGGACTAAGTGCCTGCTTTGGCAAGCGCTGGGACCAAGGTTCGATCTCTGGTCCCACATGCCGCACCACCACCACAAACCACCAGGGCGCGCTGAGCCGGCGACCAGGTCTGGGAGTGATGGCACCCGCCTGTAATCCCAGCGCTGGGGAGGCTGAAAACAGGAAGATCACTATGAGTTTGAGCTGCGTAGTGAGACCCTGCACCAAATACATAAAATGAAAAAAAGAAGACTTGGCACAAAACACCCTTCATGCTGAGCTGGGCCAATCACAAAGAACAGACTTTATTTTAGTGTTTGGCACTAAGACCCACGTTCCAGCCCTACAGCTGAAGACAGGGCCACTTGGCAACTGTACCATGTCTTCTGTAGGACCAATAAGTTAATATTAAGTACGCTCAGGCCCAGGAGCTTGGGCTTCCATGGAAGACACTGGGGATGTAGTAGCTGAACGATGGGGTGGCGGTGGGCGAGGGGCTTGTCATAAATCAGAGTAAGCTACTCAAGCATAATGGAGAAGAGGGCCCCAAGGTGGAGACTACTATAAAAGGGGACAAGGGCAGTGAAAGGAGTGCCACTGCTATGTCCTTGGGTTACACTCTCTTCCCCAACTCCAGTACACCACCCTGGTTCTTCCCTCAGCAGCCTCTGTGATCAGCTATGTCACTGTGTCCCAGGGGACAGCAGCTCCTCTGCCTGGGCAGCATGTTCTCAGAGTCTTCCGCTACATTCATGATCTGTCCAGTCCCGAGAACTCACTGGACAGAGTTTTACATGAGCAAAATGGGAATCAGCACTCCATACACCATCTGTCACTTCTTCTAGGCAAGATCCTCTCTGGGCATCTGTCAGTTAAGGGAGGGCCTAGGATCCAGGGATTTTAAGCAGCCTTAGTGATTCCAGGGTTTCCATCTCAGAAGATGGGACAAGTCATTAATGTCCTCTAATACAATCCAGTATTTTGTCAGGACTCAGGAGAAAGCACTCCTGTGCATAAACAAGAACTGCTCACAGAAGACATGTGACTGAAGGAGCTCTCATCATCCACTCCCCACCATGCCACCAAAATGATGCCTTTCCAAAAATATTTGTAAGGTGTTGGTTTTAGGACCATAATAAAAAGATGTCAGAGGGAGGAGTAGTGCCTCTAGCCCTCATGATACCTGGCCATGGTGGTCCAATGGTGAGCGGCTCCCCATCAACCAACAGCATGGGCTGGACCCAGTCTGGGACCTTGAGGTTCTAATTTGGTGCTCCCCTGGCCCAGAAGCCCAAGGGCATAAAGAGAGGACAGTGACTGGGACCCCTAGTTCCAGGGGTCAGGAAGATAGTGGAGTAGAGGAAGAGATGACTCCACCAGCATATACTGATCTTGAACTACCACTTGTGTGCATCACAGAGCACATTACAAAGGGGAAAGAAGCATTTTCCCCAGTCTGAGGTACCCAGAGACCTGGGAATTGGCGGAGAAACCCATGCATGAGAGTGGGTCATGGCCAGGCTCCACAGCACTGGGGATGTTCTTTCTCAGAAACAGCTCAGAGTGAGGACCCCTGGGTGGCCCTCGCTGACATTTGCCTTGCCTAAGAAGACAGATGTAATCAGGCAGGCAAGGCCTTAAGTCCAAGAGGCCACTCTGGGGATGTGATGTAATCATATTATGGGGAGGTTGTGGACAAATCACAGATACAAATCCTCAGGTCAGAACATTTGAAAAAAAAAAAAAAAAAACTTGTACAAAAAAAAAACCCAAACAAGAAAGGACTCAGCTCCAGATCATCGGCCTGCGATGGGGTTGGGGGAGCTGAGGGAGGCACTGGAAGGGTGAGGGGCTCAGCCCTGGCCCCACAGTGAAATAGTCTTTTCCAGCAGTGGCTGAGGAACTTGGACATGGAGCTACACCTGGCTGATGATCTCGCCGTTCTCGGGGACAAAGACTTGCACAGGAGCTCCATCAGGTGCTCTCCGAAGCACACACATGGTGGGCATCTGCCAGGGGCAGAAGGAAAGGAAAGGTTAGAGCAAAACAAGCAGGGCTGTCAGGACAGCAGGCCCAGCCACATACACATGGGGACCTCTTAGCAACACAGACCAGCGGCAGCCCTGGTCTCCCCATGAGCTGTGTGCCCCAGGGGTCATCCTCTACCCATCTGCCACTCAGGTTCCTTTAGGGTACAACAGGCACTGTGACCTCCTTTCCCCATCTTTCCTGGGCTCCAGTCTCATTCCTCTCCCTGTCTGGCAGGTTGGTATGGGCCAGGCCTGGGCCAAGGACAGGTCTAAGCTCGCAGGAAGGAGAGTACGTCAGCTGGAGGGTGCGGCTGGACCTGTGCCAGGGTGCTGCCCAGCCCAGGATGGCAGCTGCAGCTCAAAGAAATGGTGTGTGTGTTCCTGTGGGGGGTGGGCACTGGGGGCCTGCAGCTGGGCCCTGGGAATCTGGGGTCTCAAAGCAGCAGCCTGTTGGTAACTTGTAGAGCACTTCCCCTATGGCGCTTCAGTACCAGGGAGGGAGAACAAAGAAAGGATTCATGGGTACTCTCCCCACTGACAGAATGAAGAAATGAGGTCCCCGGGCTGCATACTCACAGCCTCCTACGTCCTACCCACTGGCCCCTGGGGTCGTGGTAAGACTGTCACTTACCTAGTACTCAGCAGCACTGCTCCGATCGTTTTAGCCTCTTACCCACCCTATGCAATATCTTCTACTACTTGTATCTTACAGAGCTAAACAGAAGCCCACAAGAGTTACCTAACAGAACTTGTAAGCAGTGCAGGGATTTGAACCTAGTCATCTAGCTCAAGGGTCTGTGTTCCTGTGATGTCACCTGTGTCTCAGCTTGGTGTCTGGCAGGAACACAAGGGATAGGCTCTGATTTTTGCAAACCTATTTCCAAAGTCTCCCTTTATCCTGGGCCCTCAAGTCAGGAAATTCTAGGGGTTAATATGAGCAGGACTTGAGATTATGCTCTTTTTTTTTTTTTTTTTTTTTTTCTGTACTGAGAGTTGAACTCAGGACCTTGGGCTTACCAGGCAGGTACTTGTGCTGCTGAGCTATATCCCTGGCCCTGAGGACTTGTGCTTACGAAGAAGCTTATCTGGTTTGTGGATCATCTGTGCAGCCACTCAGGAGGGGTTCGCTGTTATCTATTCTGATCATCTCACTAGGACACACATGTGCATTTTAGCTAGGCATAGTGGGCAAAATTAGGCAGTGCCCCAGGGAAATCAAAGGTACTTTCCAAAGCCAAGAGGAAGTCTTTTTTTTTTTTTTTTTTTTGGCCTAATCTTCCTAGCTGGGGGTGGGGTGGGGTGCAGGGTGTTGTCATCTGGCCTCTAGGCTGCTAGTTTGGTATCTCTCTGCTCTTGATTTTTTTTTTTTTTAAGTCATGGTCTCATCCTGCAATTCTCCGGCCTCAGCCTCCCAAATTCGGGGAATACAGGAGTACACCACCACACCCAGCTCTCTCTATGCTTGGATTTGTCAGAAAGCAGCCCTGCCCCAGGAACCCTGTAGGGCTGCTCACCTGCGCTCGGGGTCCCAGGGCTCGCCCAAAGCCCTCTCTCCCAGGAGGCAGGCTGCGCATCCGGAAAGCTCCTTGGCGATCCAGCGAGTGCGGGCGGCTGCTCCGAAGGCGCGCACGCTCGTGCCAGGAGCGCAGCTCCTCGGAGACAGCGGCCTTGCTGAGAGCGCGGCCCGTGGGGCTGTCCTTCAGCGACGGCGTCCGCACGATGCGGCTGTGTGCGGGCACGAGCCGCTGGTAGCGCAGGGCGGCGCCCTCCTCGGCGAACGCGGGGACCAGGCCAGCGCGGCACAGCTCCCACTCGCCAGGCCGCAGGTGGCTCTCAGCCACCACCACGTAGCGCCCGGCCGGGAAGTACCCAGGGGGCAGCAGCAGCTTGGGGTAGTGGGCGACCAGCTCTCTGCCGCAGGCTGGTCCCCATGGACCGTGGTGGCGAGGCGGCTCCGGGGAGCAGAGGGGCCGCAGGAAAGAGATGTCGGGGCTGCTGCTGCCCGGCGAGGTGGGGTGGGAGATGCTGGAGACGTCGGAGCCGCTGTCCTCGGAGCAGGAGTGGCAGGCAGAGTGGGGCAGCGGGGGCTTGCTGGCCGGGAAGCAGGAGTCTGGCACCGTGACGGTGTAGTGAGTGGGGCGTCGGCGGGGGAAGGCGCTGCGTCCGCGGCCCTCAGCCCCAGCGCGGAAGGAATCCACCCTGCGGAGAAGGGAGGCTGCTGAGGGGCTGGGAGGGTCCAGCGTTAGGCACAGGCAGGGCTCAGGCAAATCAAGGATTTGCCTGCACCCCGAAGGATGTGCAGATAGGGCACACTCCCCGTGTGTGGAGCCCCCCCCCCCCCAGGCCTTTCCACGTCGTGACAAAGAGAATAATAGCTGGGGCCAGGAGATGGCTCGGTAGAATAAGTGCTTGCCTGGCAAGCGCAAGGCTGATGAGTTCAATCCCGGGTTTCGCCAAAAGCAGTGAGAGAGCAAGAGAGCAACAGCTGACCCTTAGCGAGGGATTGAGTCTAGCAGCCCCATGGATAGCAAAATCCACAGGTGCTCGAGTTTCCTGTAGGAAATGGTATGGCGTTTGTTTATATACAACCTGCACGTACCTTCCTGTATACCTTAACCAACTCTGGAGGGTACTTCTAATACTAACACCATGTAAATGCTATGTAAATAGTCCTTATACTGTATGTTTAGGGGATAGTGACAAGCAAAAAGTGTCTGATAGGCTGAGGACATGGCTCAGAGGCAGAGCTCCTGTCCAGCATACACAAGAGCCTGGTTAGACTCCAGCACTGAAAAAAAAACACGTCCACATATAAAAAATATCTCGGGGCCGGGAAGATGGCTCAGTAGAATAAGTGCTTCCCTGGCAAGCGCAAGGGCCTGAGTTCTATTACCAGTTCCGAAAAAAAAAAAAAAAAAAAAAAAATCTCCAGTACAGATGCAATTAAAAAAAAAAAAAAAAAAATATGTTTGACCTTCAGTTGGTTGAACTCACAGATGCAGAGCCCAGAGACATAGAGGGCCAACACTGTGCTATTCCAGTGCCACATATCTTCAGCCACTTCTGCGGTCCCTGCGTTCAGTGACATGTCCTCTGCAGAATCTGTGCAGGCAGACCCTGTCAGCTGTCAACGTGAGTGTGGAAAGTGACCCCGTGGTGGTGAGGGCAGCTGCCAGCAGCCCAGGACCAGAAGAGGTGGCGATCCAGGCCTGCTCACACATGCAGGCACGAGGCTGATGTGCACAAAGGCACTGATTGGCAGCTGCCCCTGGTTGTGGGTATAATAGAAAGCACAGCTCTACTTAGTGCTGCCTGAAGAGCACCCCAGGGAGGCTCTCCTGGTACCCCAGGCCCCTCATGTGCTGTGGCTGCTGCTGCCTGTCACAGCCCAGGATCTGAAACTATTCCCCGGGTGGCAGGTGCCTGGGAGAGGAACACACAGTCAATTCTCATCATTTATCGATTCAGGATTTTTGAATGTGCCTCCTTGCTGAAACTTATTTTCTAATTCCGAAATCAACACCTACAGCATCATTACAGTGGCTTGAGGACATCCTTGAAACATCGAAAGGTCTGAGCTGTTCCAAGGGCACATCCCTCTCTAAGATGGAACAAGGTTAAGCTCTGCCTTCCTGTCTCAGCACTCAAGGCTGGAAGCAAGGGTCATTTTGTGTAATTACTTAGTGCACTTTAAAAAAAAAAAAAAAACCTTTTAATCTTTCGGTGATTTTGCTTTTTAAGTACAAGAGGAAGCTGATATGTGCACGTGTGTGTGCAGCGCCAGGGAGTGAAGCCAGGGCCTCCTGGCCAAGTGCTCTGCCACTGAGCTATGTCCCCAGTCTCCTTTTCACAATATTTTGTTTTGAAACAGTCTCATTAAATTGTCCAGATTGGCCTCAAACTTGTTATCCTCCTGCCTCAGCCTCCCAAATACCTGGATTATAAGGTATGTGCCATACTACCAGGCCCACGAGTAATCTTAGAAATGCTATCTATACACAGTTCCTAAGTGCAAGAAGACTATGATGTCTTGTGGAGAAAATGTGCTGCATATGCTTCATTTAGGTGTGAGTTTAAATGCCACACACCGTGAGTACAATGTTACCGAGCTCACAAATAGATCAAAAGGAGTGTCTTTAAACAAAACCTCACATAAACCAAGTTATATACTTTGATCAGTTGATGAACAACATCATGACCAAAGACTAGCAGCCACATTTCCCCTAAGGGCAGTGGTTCAGCATTTTCTGAGTACCTGCGGCTATTTTATTTTAGTCTTTTTGAAACAGAGTGTCACTATGCAGCTCAGGCTGGTCTTGAGTTCACTTTATAGCCCAGGCTGGTCTCAAACTCGCAGTGATTCTTCTGCCTCAGCCTCTCAAGTGCTGGGATTATGGTACCCCGCCACACCCAGCTCCTGCAACAATTTTAAAGAGCATAACACCTTGAATTCTGAGAGTCACCTGCACATCACCTGAATGAATAAGAAGAGATGTGCCCACTGTCAGTGACCAATAATAGAACAACTGGAAAAGTATTATCTGGCATAAAAGAACACAGCAAGGATAGAAAAACTGAATCAACTTATACAAAAAAAGACAAAACTGGAGTCTTAGAGAACTTCTTGCTTCATGGATGATGTGCTTTTTGGCTGTGGTGCTGCCATCTCTTTTCCCTTAGGAAAAGCGCCAGTACTAGTCATGTCCCCCAGGGTGTCCCCTGGCTGCTGGAAGTGTCCATTCTCCCACAGTGGTGCTGGATGGGGATGGTCCCTGCATCTGTGGGAAAGGCTGTCTTACCTCAGAGACTGTGACTGGCCCCGCCTCCCCTGCATCTCAGGAGTGGCTGGGGCACTGGTACATCCCTGTCGCTGTCCTGGAGCACTGGGGATGGGTCCCATGTGGTAGGAGGCTGGCTCCAGCAGCCACAGGCTGGAGGCACTGGGTCCATCCTGGGGTGTGGTGGCCAGGCTGCTGCAAAGGAATCAGAGAGAAGTCGGCAACAGGAGCATCTAGGAACGTCTCCACTGAGGGACTTGTGATGTGTGCAAGGTTGAGGGCACAGTGTAAGGGGGTTGAGAGGCTGGAGAGATGGCTCAGTGGAATCAGCGCTTCCCTGGCAAGCTCAAGGGCCTGAGTTCAATCCCCAGTTCTGCCAAAAAAATAAAATAACAGTGCAAGGGGGCCTCCAAGTTGCGGTGCGTTCTACCAGTGCCCTTGGAGAGCTGCCAATGGTCACATAACTCCTGCCATCCAGCTGAGGGGATGCTGATCTCCACCTTTCCCCTGTGCCACCTGCCCACCCTGCAGGCCACACCTGCTTTGGGGCCTCCCTTTCCTTCCTCACCTGGACTCACTGCTGGGCTCAGAAGACTTCCTGGCCTTCTCATAGGGGTGGTCAAGGCTGGTCTCCTTCCAAGGGCTGTTCTGGATGGGGGCACGTTCCAGGGTCCCAGGCTCAGGGCCTGCTGGCTGTAACCCCTCAAGGCTCTGGGGTGGGAGAGCCCGGGACGGTGCAGCTGGGGACTCTGGGGGAGGTTTTGGCATTTGGGAGTCCTCTGCAGAGTAAAAAAACCTGGTGAGGACAGAGGCTGGGGAACCAGCCTGACCACCTCTGCAGCCTGTGCCTTGCTCTCCCGCCCATGCCTGGCTGGTCCCACTGCTCCCCACCAGTTCTCCAGCTCGACACTAGAATTGACTTTTCTCCTTTGGAGCTCTTTCCCTCCCTCCCACAGTCCTACCTCATAACTGCCTCCTTTCAAAAGCCTCTCCAGCTTGACTTTTCTTGGTTCATACTGCTGCATTTCTAGCCTTTGTTCCAGGTGTCATGTCTGCACCCAGCCTCCATTACCAGTTTTTCTTGTTCCTGATGTGTCCAAGTGCCCTAGTTTCCTTACTGGCCTGGGCACCACCTTCTTGATCCATCTTTGCCCTGACATCCTTACCATCGGTATACAGTGGGGGTTCTTTGGCCTCACTATGTAATTCAGGCTGGTGTTGAATTCACTAGATAGCCTAGGCTGGCCTAAAACTCATGGTGACACTCCTGCACCAGCCTCCTGAGTGTTGGAATTACAGGTGTGCACCATAGCCTGGGTGCTGTACAGGTTCTCAATCCAAAGACTTTTGTTTCCCCCTCACTCTACCTTTTTTTCAAAGTTGATACTGATTGTGGATACATGGCTCAAAGGCTCTGGCTGGTTCAACCTGAAATGAAGCCCCAGGGTATAGGGACAATCAGGCCTGATAGGCCCTGCTGGAATCCACCTCTCTCTTCCTCATCGAAGCAGTCAAACTTCTGAATGAGAAACAGTCAGCATGTCCCCACCCTCTACTGAGCATGTGCAAAGGAGACGGATGCCAAGTCTGCATGAGATGCCAAGCTGTCACCTCTTCCTTCATGAGCTCACTAAACCCTCCCTTCCTGTTTGACATCCTCACTGGCAAACTATGCCAAAGCGCAGGTTCTTGTAGTAGGACCCAGCCATGACTGTTGTTCCCATTTGTCCCTCTCACCTTCTTCCAGAAGTAGCCCATCAGACAGTGAGCTGTCATCCGAGGCACTGAGCTCTGGGGAAATCAAAAGATAGAGAAAAGAAAGAGGTCAGGACGTCAACCCAAAGATCTGAGTAGCCAGTGGTAGTGAGCAACCCCAGCTCTCCCTCTCCAGGATAGCACCATTACAGGAAATACCTGCTGTGTGCTAAGTACTCTGTCATGAGCATAGACATAGAAAAAAACAAAGCAGAAGTCAAGGGCTAGGAAACAGACAACCTGATTTTAATTGGCTCTGTCATTAACATGCATCTTTGAATAATAATAAATTGCAGGGCTCTGGACCTCAACTTCCCACTTGTCAAAATAAGCTTAACAAGAGGAGGGACCAAAGAGCCACCTGGGAAGCCCCTGGGATGAAATGAATATTGTCAACTTTTCTGCTAGTCTTCTTGCATGATAAGTACAACTGAACTCAGCCTGGAAACTCGTCCATTGCCCCGTACAACAGTGGAAGATGGGAGTTCGAGTGATGGGACTGGGAGGTCAACCCGGCTGGCCAGTTGGAGGGGTCTCCAACTGGTGACAAGGTGAGTCGCCTAGAGGAAAGGGAGTGTGCCATTTCTGCATGAGACAGCAGCAACTGCCTCCCAGGAAAGATCTTGAGAACAAGCGTGCTGTGGCCTGAATGAAATTCACAAATGAGTTTAGATGTTTAACAACAGCAGTGAGGAAAATGAAGAGTGGTTGCTATTTCCACAGTACCAGTACTTTTCTACATATTGATTCATGTATTTCCACAGCCACGTAAAGGAGTTTCTATCCTCTCCACATAATAGCTGAGAGAACCAAATTTCAGGAGTTCCAGCGGGAGCAGCAGCTGTTTGGGTCAGTGCACCCATGGGTGGCCGAGGCAGAGCTCACACTCACAGTGTGGCCGGAGCCTGTGCTCTTCACTCCACCCTTCACTGGCTCTGCTCTTAGCCAGTATCGAATGCATAGGTCATTGCTAGAAGGTTCTATGAAAAGTAAACCATTCCTGCCATCTCAAAACTTTCAGAAAGAGGTTGGTAAGCTACAGCCAAACCTAGTTCACCAGCCATTTTTACAAATAACATTCTATTCACCTAATGTCAGGCTGTGTTAGCATCTACAGTGGTAGGACCTGTGACTAGACCATGATCCACACAGCCTAACTCATTTCCAATCTGGCCTTTTATTTATTTTTTTGTTTGTTTGTTTTTGATGCGGAGGACTGAACCCAGGGCTTCTAGCTTGCCAGGCAAGCATTCTACCACTGAACCAAATCCCCAACCCCTTTTAACAGATTGGAAATATTTGCCAATCTTTGGTAATTAAAATGAACCAAGAACTTTACCCAGCACAGTTCTGCTCTAGGAATATGGTTCAAGCAGCCAGTGAGCTCTGGCTTCTTCTCTTGGTTTCTAGCTAGTCTTTGCTTTGGGGCTCAGGGGAGGTGACACCCTCTTATTGAATTCTGCTTCACTGTTTTTGGTCTTCAAAAAAAATGTTTGTTTGTTTGTTTTCTTTTTGCAAATGTCAAGTTGAAAAAAAAATGGTGAAACTGTTACTCTGTGGACCAGCAGTGCAACCCTGTGGTGTGTTGGTTAGAACACAGGGTCTTCATTGCCTGGTACCCCTAACCTTCATGTAAACAGGCAGATCTGTTCTGTAGTCTAAACAATATAAAGCAAAGACAGAAATCTAGAGACACAGAGGGGAGCTGGCAGAGCACTCTGATCTGTCAGAGGCAGGAGGCTTCTGGGTGCTGTCACTGTCTCAGGCCCTGTCCCCACCCAGCCCTGGCCTCCATGAATTCAATACTTACTTGGCATTCTCAAAGCTACGCTGTCCAACATGGTAGCCACCAGGGACAGCAGACTCTATTCATTGAAATGAAAGCAGTCTTAAAGTTCACTTTCTCAGGCATACCAGGCATGGTTCAGAAGCTCAATAGCCACCTAAGGCTAGTGGCTTCCCTACTGGTCAGCACAGATGGGGAACAAGTGCTGAAATGCTGAAGGACAGTGTTGCTAAAGACTGATACTGTCACTCAACAAACACACACTGAGCACCTGTTCTATCACTGAGGCGTGTGCTGGGGTGGCTCTCTCAGGTTCACCCACAGTAAATTGGTTCAGCGCCTGGCGGCTCCTCACCACCTGCAGAGCCTGGCTAATTACTCTCATCTGGCGTAATTACTTTCCCAAATTGAATAATCCTTGTGTGCAGATCTAGGTTGGTTTTTGTTTGGGGGTTTTGTTTTATTTTTTGGTTCATTTCCTTATTTTTTTAATTCAAAACACCATTCAACTACTAATTATCAGTCCTTCTCCACTTTTTTCTAGGCAAACTTAACTTAGTAAAGAAGCCACAAAAGAGGGATTGCTAGCTAGACCCACCTGCTCTGGGGCTCCTGAGGCCAATCGTTAGACCCCAGGACCTCGGCCCATGCGGAGAGCAGGCCTGAGATTGGGGCAGGCTCTCTGCCCAGAGCTGGCCCAATCAGCAGCTGTCCCAGTGCTTTCCCCTGCCTGGCTTGGTTTCTCCCAGCCAAAGTGTCCTGAGAAGGCATCAGAACCTGGAGCCTCCTGCCTCCCACAGAGGGTTAAGCTGGAGCCCAGGGCATGTCCTGGTCTGAGCTCTACTCACCACAAGGAGTGTCAGGGTCACAGTGGTGGCAGCAGAGTGATATCTCACTGCCAGCCCAGCCTGTACAGAAGCTCTGACCTACTGCAGTGCCTGTAGACCCAGGCTGCTAGGCAGTACAAAGCCGGAGGAGTCAGAGGTGGAAAACAACTGAGACAGGGAGTGTTTCACCAGCTGGATGGCTCACAACAGGCACAGAGGAAGTTGGCCCTTAGGGATGTCCATGCTCCCATCAGAGCTGCCTTTGCTAGGAAGGTCCACTCTGGGGGGCCTACAGGGAGTGGAGTGGAAAGCCTAGAAGGCTTAAAGGCCAGGAGCATTTTCCTATAGCCAGGGCAGGCCAGAACCACTCAACCAGAGAAAGGTCTAGCCACCAGGCCTTCCAGAACATTGCACTGTTCTTCTGGCTTTATGATCAACTGTCACACAGTCACTTCCTTCTTTGCTATCTACACCAGCTGGTGTCTGGTCAGAGAGCCTATCATAAATTAGAGGGCACAGGTGGGAGCAGATGCTGAGACCATGGGGTGTGGGGACCAGAGAGGGACATTAGGCTTCCACCAGTGTCCCTGCAGGGAAGGACAGCAATGGTGTAAAAAGCCAAGCTGAGGTGCAAAGTTAGCAGCCACTTGCTAAGCTGAGCCCAAGGCCTCAGAGCGGTTCTGCCCCAGGGCCACTGCCCCCTTGCCTACTCTTCTCACTGAGCCAGCCAGTGAGGCCTGGAAGCCAGGACTGAGCCCTGGGGGTGGGGACTGGAATGGAACTCGGCAAGTCACAGCCTGACAAGCTGGATGTGGGTCAGGACAGACAAAATACTCACACCTCAGGCTTCAAACCCACCAACAGGAAGCTAACTCAGACTGGACATACTTAGGTTACATGCAGGTTCTGCCACCTGCAGGGGTCAGGGGTCAGGGACTGAACCACTGGCATAATAAGGCAGGCATGGATGTGGCGACCCCTCCTGGTAAGTCCAGGGCATTTGTAGGTACTAAAGGGATCCTGGGGCTCAGCACTCATGGGCTGGATTGCAGCCTGTGCGCAACAAGTGGTGTGTGGCCTTGACACAACTTTCCATGAACTGCATAACTCAAGCCAGGGAAAGTGCATCACTTCAGAGTCTTGGGTTCATCCCAGTATGCTGACCCAATAGCTGTGGGTTTGGGATACTTTGAATAAACCCTGGACTGAGCTCAAGGTCAGCCCTCCCGTCTAGGAAGAAGTCTCCTACCCTCTGCCCCAGTGCTCGGGACTGAATCAGGGCCTTCCTCCTGCACTGCATTTCCACTCCACCTCCTCTTTTGTTTTTTGTTTTCTTTCTTGCTGACTTGATAAACTGCCTGCTGGCTAAACTACTGGCTGGGCTGGAATTTGCAGCTCTCCTGCCTCAGCCTCCCAGAGCATTGGGATTACAAGTGAGCTCTGCCACCCCAGGCTTAGGAAGTCTTCTGAAGTCTTTGCAGAGGAAGCAGGAGGAACTGGGATATTTTCTAGGGAGCTGGGGAAGAGCAATGTTCCAGGATGAAGAAGACTTGCTGGGGGTGCACAAGGTGAAGAAGCATTAGTGCCAAGCGCTCAGGTGGCAATGACTGAAAGCGAGCGCAGCAGCACAGAGCAGCGCTGTCCACCCCACCCCACACCCAGGCTGGTGGCCTCACCTTGGCCCAGCACCTGGACAGCCGTGGCAGGAGGGGGCTCGCTGTTACGCCGCCGCTCACCCAGGCTGCGTTGCAGCTCTCGCAGCTTCTTCTCCTCCTGCAGGGCCGCATGCTTCCTCTGCCGCCGCAGCTGTTTGCTGAGATTCTCCTCCGCGCTCAGCCGCCGTGCAGCCTCGGTGATCTGCAGCTGCAGGGCCAGCTGGCGCTCCAGGCTGCTCAGGGGGTCCTGCAGAGGGTTGGGAGTGAGTTGGGGATGGGCAGGCTCTTGGGGGCACTGGCCCTGTGCTGTGATTCCTGGCCCTAAGGCCAGAGGACACGGGGCAACCAGTCAGCAGCACAGGGATGTGGAGCAGAGGGTGGAGTGGTGGGAGGGGCTGTCAGACAAGTTGTCATGGGAGAAGCTGGCATGGGCACCCATCCCTACCCTGCCTGCCCAGATGGGTGGAAACTCAAGCAGGACACTTTCCCTCCTGACCCCACAGGATTTGGCAGGCCAGCCCTCGGAAACCTGCTACCATCTCATCGTGGGAAAGGGCAGGCACCCACGGCCCAGGCCCAAGCTGCCCCTGCCACTTCCCTTCTGGGCCAAGAAAGAGGACAGCCCCAGGGACACAGGAACCTGTTTGAGCAGGCAACTGTCTCTCTGGGTGGGTGGCTAGAGCTCTTAATTGATCTTTGACTGTGGGGACAGACCCTGTGTCCTCCTAGAGTGTCCAGTCCTCCATCTCCTAAGGTGGCACACTTCCACACCCATCTGGCTACCCATGGGGAGTGCCCCTCATCAATTCAGAGGGGGCTAGTCACCCTCCTAGGTAGGTAAGAGCAGCAGAGGCTGCCAAGGTGCCCTCATGGTCAACTTTGGGGCTGAGGACAGTGGTGGCCTCTGAAGGGCTCACCTCTCTGTGCAAGGCCCACTCATCCAGCTTGTAAGCTGCTCCAATCCTGCGGCGGACCTTCGGGGGCTTTTCTCCAGGTTTGAGGGGATATTCTTCTGGCAAGACCCCTGTCAGCTCCTGTAGGAAAGCAAAGTCAAGCGAGGTAATTCTCCACCTGCCCAGCCTTCAGCGACCACTTGCATCCCATTGCTGGTCCCTGGGCTGCATGGGTCTGCCCTACCATTGAGGCATCTGGGATAGCTGGCCACTCGTCTCCTGGCCATCCCATAACTTCTGTTAGTTATCTTCTTGTCCCCATCCTGGGGCACCCTCTGCCTCCTTTTCCTTTCCCTTCACATCTTCTGATCACTTCCTCCAGAAGGCTATAGGATCCCACGTACAACCCTCAGAGGTGCTTCTGTCTCCTAGCCCCTCTCCCATGCCTGGGCTCCACCCAGGTCTAACACAACCTCACTCAATGCCAGGCCAAACACTACATTAGAGGAACTCCGGGCCTACCCCTGGAATCCTGATTTCCAGAATTCCCTTTAGAATGGGGATACCACCTTCACTGCTAATATCCCTAAACATGGCTCCAGGTGGCTAGGAGTATGGGGGCGCAGGCCTCACCGCCTCCCGGATGCAGAGTCTCCGCAGCTCCTCCAGGCAGGCCTCCAGCCGCGCTTCCAGGGCCCTCTGCTGCTTGTATACTGCATGGGTCAGCTCCTTCATTGGGGAGACTGGGCTGTCAGGGCCTGTGGGAGGGCAAGAGGCACATGCTCAGGGATGCTGAGGCAGGAAAGCCCCTCTTGGACACTTACTGACCACCTAAAAGGGAGTATAGACTCATACATACACAGCTACATGCCTGCTCACAAATTACAGGCTAGCTGCTGTGGCCTGTATCAGAACCCCCGAACCCCAGGCTACTGGCTCCCTAGCAGTGGCAACATTACAGCTCAGAAGGGAGGGCTACCCCACTGCTGATCTGGGGGTGCTGCTGGCTCATGCACACAGAGCTCTCCTGTCTTCTCTCAACAATTAGGGCAGACTGGCCCCACCAGCTGGTTTCAGCTAGAGACAGGGGACCTTAACACTAGCCAGATAAGCCTTTTCAATGTCTTTGGAATCACTGTAGCTAAAGTGGAACACTCAAATCCCTGTTTATACAGGACCAAACTCCAGCCAGACCCTCCAAGGAGGGAAAATGTGCCTGTCCCTAAGGCCCTCTGGTATCCCCCAGCAGAGGCCTCTCTGTTCCTGCCCTCCATCAGCTTCGGTAGTCTTAGCTGGCCGCCCCCAGCCTGGGGCAGTGGGGTTTCCCCTGACCCACTCACCAGACTGCAGGATGATGCCGCTGTCGGTGTCGCTGACCTCACCCTTACTCTCCATGGTGGATTTCTGGCAAGAAGGGGCACAGAGCAGGGAGGTGCTGCACGGGTCCCAGCCTGGGCCAGGATGTGTAGGTAGCCTGGAGTCCTCCCAGCTTTTAGGAGGAAAGGAGAATGGTAACTAACAAGCTCTCTGTAAATCCCTCAAGTTCAAAACAGAGCTCTGGAATAGGAACTTCAGGATAGAAGGATAAAAGATAGGGACCAGGAAGGCAGATGAATGAGAAAGCCAGGGAGAAGGGGAAGATGCCTTCCTGGGCGCAGCTGTCCTCAGCCCTTTCATGGCTGTCACACTTCCCTGATGGTTTGAGCCTTCACGAAGTAGCTAAACACTGGGCATTAGGCTAAAGCCTTGTCTCAGGGCCTCCAAGGTCCAGTTCTGCCTCTCTCTGAGCCAGGCCCTCTAGGCAGGTGTGGCCACTTGATGCCAGAAAGTGGTCTCTGAGACTTCTTTGGGCCAGCAACCCTGGTCAGAGTTTCAGCAGGCCAGGGCCTGGCAGCTGCTGGCTGGAGCAGGGGTGGGGAGGCAGGCGGAGCCCAGGCGGCGGTCTGGAAGGAGAGGCCAGCCACCTCCTCACTGAGTCAGCCATTGAGCAAGAGTCCAAAAGTCCTTCTGAGTTTCTGTCTGGAGCTTATCCTGCTGCCTCCTCAGAGCACAGGGCCACAGTGGGGGTGGGGACTCCCAGACCCCGCAGGCCGCTAACAGGACAGAAGAATATAACCTTTGGGAAAGTGGGCCCCAAAATGAGGCAGGTGGGAGACTGCGATCAAGCTGTCCCCAGGGGTGCAGTACCTCTGCTGAAAGGGAAGGAGCAATGGCTTTTACAGACCTGTGTAAAAGTAGAGCTTATCAAGGTAAGAGGGGAGGCAGCAATTTAAGCCACTGGCCTGAAGATAATATGTACCTTGCACTTTGCAACTTCAATTTCCAAGGAAGTCCAAAGAGTGTGTAGTAGACTCAAAAAAAAAAAAAAAAAAAGAAAGAAAGAAAAAGTTTACAGGCAATCTTTAAAACATGCCAAAAAACCAGTGGCTCTATCTTCCTGGAAGCTCAGGAATGCAGGGTGACTGTTTTCAACTTTGCACTGTTCATCTGTCCCAGACCCTTACCCCTCAGCCTTTCTCCCAGCCTGGCCATGCTGTCCCCCTGCCCATAAGGCAGGAGGGTCCAGCCAGAGCTAGGAAGCAGAACAGACTCTCAGCTGGCACCCTGAGCCTTTTAGCTTTGGACAAAGGGAGGTGGTGATATCTGAGGGGAAGCCATTAATTAGTCACATTTGCCAATTAATTATTAACCACTAAGGAGTTGCCTTGAAAGTTGGGACTACTCAGCCCTTGCAGTGGGAACTTCTAGAAACTGGGGAGTCCTTTAGCAGGTCCCCCTCTCTCCTGCAATTTCCCCCTCCCCAGCTCGGCTCGGCTCAGTCCCTCACTGCCACGGTCAAGGGGGAGGTCTTGACATTCAGTGTGGGCCAAATCTGATGTGGGAACTTGCTGCTCTAAGTAGGGCTCAGCTGTTCCCCAACTATGTTACCTGGGAAAAGTCACCTGGCCAGGCTGTGACGACTTTCAAGGCACACAAGGATGGGGGGTGGGCCTTAGGTGCCTAAAGCATTGCTGGAGATAAAGGCAGCTCTGGAAACATCCCCACCCCAGGAATACCTCCTGGTCCTCCCAGTGCCCAGCCCCTCTGGGCCAGCCCCAGCACTGGGCCCTAAGAACCAGTGCTATAGCCGGTCAAACAGTATCCCAGGATAAGATAGAGGAAAGAAGGGTCACAGAGCCAGTAGGGGGAATGCTAGGGAACTTTGTCTTAGGCATGCCATCCTGGATCCCCCACCCCAAACCAGGCCTTGGACTCTGCTCCAGCTCACCTCTGCTGTTCTAGTGCAGATTCAGGCCCAGCCCCAGAGACAGGCTCCCTGTCAGAGCCCACCACCACCCTGTTATCCCTGGGCCCCAGATCAGAGCTGGACAGGAGTAGGAGGTGTCCACAGTCAAGCTCCTTCCATTCGCAGGGTTCAGGCCCTAAGCCCCACTCAACCAGGTCCCGCCCCACCCTGCCCTCACCTGCTTTAGGGTTTTAGTCCCGGAGTTCAGGAAGGGCCCCCTTTTGCCAGGTTGAGGAGTTTAGGTGCCACACATGTTGCCTCTAGGCCTCCCAGACCACTGGCTGGCCACCTGTGCTCTCACCCTGACCAGGCTCCCGCTTCGCACGCTGCTGGCTGCCCCTCTGGCTGTCCGCTCGTCCCTCCCCAGCTGCTGGGCCAGGGGAACCAGGTTACTTGTTATGACTTGAGTCAGAGGGGAGGAGCAGGTGAGCAAGCCCTTCCCTGAACTAATCCTGACTGCTGACTGTTGCCGGCAGGCAGCTCCTGGGCCTCTGCACTTCCGGGGCCAGAAGAGAGCAGGGAAAGGGGGCTCCCCAGGGAGAAATCCCTGTCTGCAACAAGGGGTACATCTTGCAGGGACCCTAGTGCAGTGGTTCATCTGGGCTGTGGTATGTCACAGTGCCCTCTTTTCCTGCCTGGCTGTCTCCACCTTCCCTGGCCTCCAGTTTCCCTTTCCCAACAACAAGTCCCCCAAACAGGTAAAAAGTCCACTCAGCATTAGGATAACAGCAGGAAAACTTACAAGCTCAATGCAAAGCTCACTGCTCTTTCCCATACATTGAAATGGAGCTCTCAGGCTGAGTTTTGTGTCTCTTCCACCTGGATTTAAAAACCTCACAATCAGGGCTGGTGAGATGGCTCAGTGGTCTAAAGCACCTACTTAGAACAAGCTTAGCAAAGCACAGGGATGGGGTTCATTCCCCCAGCACCACATGCCAGCCAGCCCCACCCCCACCCCCATGGGCTGAGCTGGCCACACACACACACACACACACACACACACACACACACACATAAATAAATAAATAAAATTTTAAAAAAATTAAAAATAAAAAATAAAAATCTCACAATGGACAATGGGAAAGACATGTTTGTTGTCCCACCTACTCGGGAAGCTGAGTCAGGAGGCTGCGAAGCTGAGTCAGGAGGCTCACTTGCACCCAGGAATTAAGATTAGCACCCCCTTTCAAAACAAAAGGAAAAAGGTTCTAGAGTTATAGACTCCCAGTCTTGGAAGGGCCCTTGTGGCCCTGGGTTTTAACCTCCAGCACAAAACAAAACAAGCAAACCCCTCAGGTTGGAATTGTGTGTACAGAGGGCCCAGGACTCCACAGCCAGAGGCCAAGGCCATTCACTCTTTATCCCCATCCCTGTTTCTTATCTGTGAAGAGGGACCCAGGGCCAGGACCTGAACAAGCACTCGACCACTGAGCTACACCCCCTTCCCAGTGCTTTCTCTTTTTATTCCACATATTTACTTACCTGGGTGGGCAGAGCAAGGTCATCACTTCCCTGTACACCTTGTAACTCTACCTCCCAGCAGCACAGCCCTTGGGGCACTGACCTGAACCCCAGTCCTGTCCCTTACTCTGTAGAAGGGTCACTGTGTGATTTCAAGGCTGCAGGCCACTCCTCAAATGCATGGGGCCAGAGTCCAAAATGGAATTTGTTCCTTCTGATCCTCAAGCAAGTGAAAAACTGATTGAGATCCAGCCCATTTAACAGGGGGAAGCCGAGCTCAAGATGCTTGGCTGGGACTTCGCAACAGAGAGGAGAGGGGATGGCAGCCCTCAAGTCTTCATCCCACTCCTACCATCGTCCAGGTCTTGGGTCCTCCCACCATGCCTCCCAGCACCTCAGCTCAAGTGAAGATCGCTTCCTTTCCCTTTCCATTCCGGAAGATCGCAAACACTCCCCTCCCAGAGCCAGCACCAGTTCATCGATGACCGAGAAACTGCTCCCATCAAGCAGGGCTGTCACAGTGGGCCACTTCCCCTTTGCTGGCACGCAGGCGCTACACACCTTCACATTCCAGTCCACACCCCCTTTCCAAACAATGCCAGCCCAGAGTCCTCCAGGCTGACCACCTCCTCCTCTTCCCAGCCTGAGGCAGAGGGGCCCTCCCAGGGGCAGTCCCTGCCCTTGGTGGGGAGCAAGCTCTCTGGGCCTCTCAGAGAACCCACAACCCTTCCTTCCCTTCCCCGGTCCTCCACAGTACCGCAGTCCCTGCCACCCACTACTGCACTGCCATCCAGCGTCAGCCAGAGAGGGACTGACTCTGGGCAAAAGCTGGCCTTGCCCAGCTCTTAACTCCAAGTGGGGAGGAGAGTTCAGTTTTCTAGAATCAGCTGATAACCCCATATTTAAATATATAAAATGGGGTGGGAGTTAGCTCAGTAGAATAAGTGCTTGCCTGGCGAGCTCAAGGGCCTGAGTTCAATCCCCAGTTCCATAAAAAAAAAAAAAATAGATAAATATATAAAATGATATGAAAAGGATCGCTAGGAGAACCAATTATATTGCCACACAGTTCCAAAACCAGAACTGCTACTACTTCCTTATTAGCATTAAATAGGACCCAGCAGGAGATAAGCACACACAAGTGATGAGCACAAGCAGTGTTTCAAGACAGCTGCTACAATGCAATATGCTGCGAAATGGAATTTTATCAGTGGTAGTCCCAGCCCTCTAACAACGCTCTCTTCTTGGTTTGCTGCTAATGCAAAGTGATGTTAAATTTCTGTGGATAAAAAAAACAGAAGATGCAAGGTTCCATTCTCTATCTAAGCTTAGAAGCCCTCTTGAATTCCACCCACACAGGTCTGGAAACATAAGAACTTCAGCCCTCAGGTAACACGCTACCTGGGTCTGGGGAGAAGTGAAATCGGCTGAGGCCTGGACACACCTGGACATGAATTCCTTCACTTAAATTCTCTTCTGGAAGAAGCCTGAGAGCTTCTCACTATATGTATAACTGACTGGCTTTTCAAGAATGCATGTGAGTAGAAGAGGCCAGGTCCCGTTTGTTAGTGATGTCAAAAGCTCCATGTCCCCACCACAGAGCACAACTCCCCTAAAAACAAGCGTGTGGTCCAGGAAGAGCAGACCTAGCACCTTCCCTGTCCCTTTCCATAACCCCGCTCCACCAGCACCACCTGATCATGGTAGCAGATTTGAACTTAGGGCTCCCATGTCCTTGCTAGTTGGTCTCACAATAAAGCTATTTGGTTTTTGCCAAAGCCTAGAGTCATGATGTCTGCTTCTATGTGTGTGGAGCAGCAGCACTTCCTCCATAACAGGAGAGGAATCTTGTCTTGGTCCTCAAGAATGCTCAGAGATATTTCATTGCCCCAAATTCACACCCAACGTTTCCCAAACTAGCAGCATCTAAGGTCTGGAACATGGCTGGCAAGCCGACGCTGCCCAAGAATCCAAGAGGGCCCTACGGGTCCAACTGATTACAGGCACCTAACTCAAAAGACCAAGGGAGAAGCGGGAGTTTCAGAGGCCACCCTGGAAGTGTCGCTGCTGCCCCAGCTCCCAGAGCACCATCGCCAAGGCAGGTGGAGAAGTGGGGTTTCTCTGAGAGCGCTGCGGCGATTGGAACGTGATCTTGGGGAACAGGAGATTTTCCTCAAGAAGAGGAAAAGCGCCCTCTCTCGGGTTCTCATTTCCTAAGGGAAAGCCCTGGAGCGGAGGGCTTCTCCGCAGCTCTGTGGCCAACCATTCTCTCACTTTTTTCAAAGTTTCTTCTTTTGCATTTATCCAAACTTCTTCGAGTCAGGCACTTCACACTGTTATCTCCGTGACCTCAACTTCATCCAGCAAAGCCCCGTCACCGACAGGCCCACAATTCTACTTAATGAATGAACGAGCAAACGGTCAGCCACTAGGACAAACCAGTAAAAGAAGGAAGGGAAATTGCCCGGGACCCTACAGGCAGGAGGGATGGGAGACGGTCCCTTAACTGTTTTTGTTCCACCTCTGCTCCCTGCACACCGGGAAAGGTGTTCGCTTCCACTGGGCGACCGACTACAGAGGCGTGGGCTGGGACAGGGGAACTCCCGGCGAGCCTGGAATGCGCCCTGAAATCCGACCTCTAGGCTCCCTCGGTAAAAAGCCCCTTTGTCCCGTCCACCCTGCTCCCCTCCCCCACCGCGCCCTGCACTTCCAGGCCGGCCTGAGACTTTGCTCCTTTTGTTTGGCTGCTCCCTGCCTTCCCGGAACCTGGCCAGGAGCTCCACAGGCATGGAGAAGTTCAGAGGAAAAAGGCTGAAGATCTGGAAGCGTGCACGTAGGACAGGAACTCAGAATTCCCACCCCCTTGTAAAATTACCCCGGTCTCTGCAGGATCCCGTCCGTTGAGGATGCAGACCGTGGCTCCGGGGGATGATCCCCCTAGTTCAGCCGCATCAGCTCCCGAAGTTTACCCCCCTTACCTGTCCCGCCGAGCTCCGGCGCCTCCCGCCTGTGTCCGCGCACCCCGCGCAAGCCGGGCCGCGTCAGGAGCTGGGGGTGCGGGCCATCTTCCCGCTCCTCGCGTCTCCCCCCGGCCCTCCCTCCCTGGAGGTATTTCATTTAACTTCGGCATTTGTAGCATCCCAAATGTTAAAGATCCCAAGACATCTGTCCCCTGGTGCATACCAAGACGCCAGGAAAAGAGGGGAAGATGCGAGCTGGGACGCGAGAGTCTGATCCCGGAGCGGGGGCGGGGCCGCATGCTGCTGGGGGAAGGCGCCTGAAGGGTTGCGGGTCCTTTGGGAGCCGCGGCTTGAGGGAAGAGGGTGCCCCCCTTCCCCGCCTTGGGGCGCCCTCCTGGCGGGGAACCCCCGGCGCTGCCAGTTTCCGTCGCCCCGGCGGGAGGAGGCTGCTCTCTGGGTCCGAGGGCCGCCTTTCACCGCGCGCTCTGGCCTGGCTGGGGGCAGTTTTCATTCCTGGAGACTCCCGGGTGGAAGAATGAGAGGGGGGCAGGGGAGGGCGCCTCTCTGTTCCCTCTTGCGCCCTGCAGCCCAGCGCTACCGGCTTCTGGGCTGCAGAGACTCGGCTGGAGCCAGCCTCACCTCACCTCCTGCGGCCCAGCGGGTCCTGCGGGGGATCCCCGCGGCTTAAAGGGCAGGACCACCCTCTGGAAGGCCCCTCTGCTGCTCCCTGAGAACCGGCAGAGCCCAAGGCCTATCCCTTTGGGTCACTCGCACTTCCCCGTGTTGTTTTGCTCAGTTAACATTTATTGAGCACCTACTAATGTCCAGCGCTGTGGATCGGTTTAAGCTGCTTCCCTAGAGGGTTGTCCATCTGATCCGGGAACAATAGCACTAATGAAGTAGAGCCAGGGGAGGAGAGGCCAGCCCTGCCT